GATAAAATTACCCTTCTTAAGGAGCATTTCTCACATGGGGATGATCTTTGTTTCTTGGAATATATTAGAATTTCAAGGATCAACACTAATATCAACAACTCTTTTGAGTTTCTTACATATTCTTTCACATTTCAAAATTTGATTTAATGTGCAAAAGTCTTCATAGAGATGAAGTTGATAAGACAATGGAAAAACATTTGGGACCTTTGAGGTAAATTTTGTTGTAGTAAGATGGAAAGTCGATGATAGTTAGGGAAGATAATAATAATGTTAAAGGAAGGTAAAGATGTTGCTACCATTGGGGTGCTTCTTAAAAGCCTTTCATAGTACATTTTTAGTGGAAGTATATTTTGTTAGCACCAAGATGAATTGAGCATTTTTTGCTAAGCTAGAACACCACATTCTCTTTCCATCTTTGTAATTTCTTCATATATACTCTCTTCATTTATTATTAGTAAACTTAATTTGACTTTTTGACTTTTTAAACTAAAACTTTAGATGAAAATGTAACATATTATATAAATTATTATGAATTGATTGGTTTGTGGATGTTTTACCTTCCTCATCTTTTACCTCTTCCTTTCCATGGCATTTACACACCAAGTAATGGTGTAAGTCTCACTACCTCTATACAATTACAATAGTAATTAACACTTATAATCTCATGCAATTATAAGTGTCATCAACACCCACTTTCTCAAGCATGTACATGTTGTTTTCTTCTTATTAAGTGGGTGATATAACAATTGTATTGTAAGTCTTGTAACTCCCACGGCTTTACTTCCCTATATGTAGGGCTTGTTATTTGTTATTATATGGACAAAACATGAATGGAAGAATGAATAAGAATAACAATCTCTATGTGGTCTCTTTGCCTCCCTTTTGTTTTCCTATTTCACATTATTTTTCTACTTGTTTTCTTTATTTTACAACATAAATTATAATTAATTTTTTTTTGTTAAATAAAAATACTCAATAAGAACTTTATATAATATGAATTTTTTAAATTATTGTTTACTTAAATTTTTAAATTTTTATTTAAAATTTTATATTTAAAAAATAAAAAATAAACTAAATTTACTAAAAATAAATAGAAAAATACTTTTTTATTTTTGCCATCGTCTCTCATCCAATAAGATTACCATAAACGGCAAAATTAGTTTCAAACTTCAGTTGCAAAAACAAATCTATTCAACTATCTCTACCTTTGGTAAGAGCAAAATTTATGAGCTATAATCATTCTTGCAATGTCCTATAAAATCACATTAAAAAAATGGGAATATAATCATCGTAATCTAGTGCATATAAGGACATCCTTGTAAACATCTTGGCATTGGAAGGTGAAAAAATGAAGACATGTGGGGAATGCGATTTGAACCCACACCCTTTTGGACCTTAACCTTAATCTGTCGCCTTAGACCAACTCGGCCATCTCCACCTTAGGTTAATTCCGTCGTATAAATTTTTAAAATTCTTGGCATTTAAAATGTTAAAGAAAATTAAAAAACCCCAAAAATAAGGGTAAAACCAATTTTGAACCCCTCACCTTACAAAATTGGTAAGTTTTAGCCCATAACCTTATAATATAACACTTTTAGCCCTTTACCTTACAAAGTTTGTAGGTTTTAATCTCTCATTTTACAAAATTGGTAAGTTTTAGCCCTTCACCTTATACTATGACACTTTTAGTCCCTTATCTGTATGAATTGAAGAAAATAACCCTCACTAAATATCATGTTATAATGTTCTATTAGTTTTATTAATTGACTGTAAATTCTGTTAATTAATTGTAAATTCTATTAATTGACTGTTAGTTTTGTTAACTAACTATTAACATCCGTTCGCATTCCGTTAATGGAACTAACAAATAAAATTGAATTTAAATTTAATATTTTATATAATGAAATGCTAACAAATGTTAACAATTAATTAATAAAACTAATAAAATATTATATCTTGATGTTATGTGAGAGTTATTTTCTTCAATTCGTATAGCTGAGGGGCTAAAAATGTCATAATATAAAGTAAGAGGTTAAAACCTACCAACTTTGTAAGGTGAGGGGTTAAAACCTACCAACTTTGTAAGGTGAGGGGTTAAAACCTATCAACTTTGTAAGGTAAAGGACTAAAAGTGTTATATTATAAGTTGAGGAGCTAAAACCTACTAATTTAGTAAGGTAAAGGGCTAAATGTTGATTTTTGCCAAAAAATAAGAAAGTCTCGTTTGAGAGTCGTGGACCTTAAGCAGGTATACAATGGCTTTTCTTTTTCCAATTCCCATTTGATGCACAACTTCCTATCACGTGCGTGTCTCTCTTTATGTAAAGAGTTCTCAATTTCTCATCAAATTTTTGTATATTATATTTAAATAAAATTTTATTTATTTATTTTAATTTTAATAGTTAAAATT